AGCGGACCTACTATTATATAGGCCTCAACTATAGCTTCTTTTAGTATAGAACTAAGTATAACTCTATATATAATAACTAGGGTTTCCTAAGTATTAAGGGAAACTTTAGTTAAGGGATTATATAGGCTACTATAAGCTTATAGTAACCGTCGACCTTTATAGCTAGCTACGTAATGCCCTTAATTACTATACCCTTTATTACGCTTAAGGCGCCCTTTACTTACCTTAAAGCGATCTTTTCTACTAGTACTTATATATCTTATATAAGCGCCTTATTAACTATAGCGTAGTACTAATAGCCCTCGTCTATAAGGGCGGCGATAGGTAAGGAGTTATTAACTATAACTTATATTAAAGTAGGCTCTTCTTCTATATAGGCGGATAATTCCTCCTTTTCCTTTACTAGTACTAGTAATTAAGGCTCTAGAGCCTATCTTTACTCCGGAGCTATGCTTTTTCCTCTAAGCCTATAAGAGCGGAATCCTCTTTATTATTTAAGGTAAGGAGCGGTTCTATCTTCGCTACTTAAACTACTATAGGCCGCTTAACTAGAAGGAAGGGGCATTTTAATATAAAGTATATAGACGCGCCGTAATATAAGCAGCGGCCGTTAGCCTTCTTTTTCCCGATTTCCTCGCTCGTTACTTACTTCGCCCGCTACTTAAAGGGCGGGATAGTATAAGGGATATTTAATAATAACTTCCTACCGCGTTTAGCTCGGTCTATATAAGTAGCTAATATTAAGGTATCTCCGTTAGTATCGATAGCTAGCTATTCCTCTTATAGAGGGGCGGTAATCCCGTTACCGCTATATAGCGTGCGCTTATAAAGCTTCTAGAAACGCGGCGTTTACTTATAGCCCTATACTACCTTTATTAACCGGCTTATATACTTACTATAGTTAGTAGGTATAATTATAGGGATAAGTAGCTCTTATAAGGCTAGCGTAATTAAGTTCCGTAACTATATAAGCTTTACGCTATCTTCTTATACTATAGTTCCCGCCGCCTATAAGAGCGTCTCTTTAAAGTTAAGGAGGAATTCGCTAAAGGTCTACCCGTCCCTTTACTTAAGGGTCTATAGCCTATCCTATACCTTCTCCCGCTCCTATATATTGCTAAACGTATATATAAGGTATTAAAAGAAGTCCTATAGGTCGCGTTTACCTCTAGGGCCGCCCTTATCTTAGAATCTAGAGATCCGCTATATCTAGGGCTCCGGTAGCATATAGAGGAGCGAATACCACGCTATATTATAATAGCTATTTAGGCCTTATTTCTCGTCTATTATAAACTTCGTCTATAGCCGGCTAAGGAAGAAATAGAAGGACTTAAGCTTACTATCCTAAGTCGGCTAGGGAAGCGGCTTCTATATTAATAGTACCGCCGCTATAACTAGTATTACTAAGGTCGTAGGGGTTAACGCTGGTCTCGTAGATAGCTCCCTTAGTATAGCGAGAACCTCGTTCTTCTCGCTAGCCGTCGCGCTTTTAATCGCTTCTAGGATAGCTATAATACTTCCTATCTACTTAGGAGGTAGCGGGGTGCTCCCTTAAGGGAGCGGCACCCTTTTTAAGGAGATATTTATTAGATCTATTAGTTAATAGCTTATACTATTACGGAGTAGGCAGAGGCGTATATATAGGTGCCGCCTATAAGATAATATTAATAAGCTATATAGAGCTCTTTTATACGCGGCTAGCCTACCTTTATACTTATAGGATCCGGCCCTTTATACGTAACTATATAGCTTAAGCCGCGGCCTAAGCTTATTACCTATAATAGTTAAAGACTCTTATAATTAGGAATAAATAGGATCTTATCTTTTATTTCTTTAGTTTCTTTTCCTACGTTAGCGGTAGTATTACTATCTTCTAGCCCTTTATCCTAGGTAAATAAGATCTAGTTTTATATTTCCTAGGAAAGATAGATCCTGCCTTAGTCGTTAGTTAGTACCGCTTAAAGCTAATAAGCGAGGTTAATAATAATTAGGTTTTCCTAAGAGCCCTCCTTTAGTTTCGAATCCTAAGGCTATAGTCTAGTTTAAGGACTAGTTAACTAGTTTAGTACTAGGCCTATATCTACCTAGTATAGATTATTCTATCTTAATATAGTTATTATATTTCCTTTCTATTAAAATTATCTTTATTCCTAGGGTTTCTAGCTAGTAGTTTTAGCTATAGATAGGGTAGAGTTTACTATAGTCTTATTCTTAGTTTTACGTAACCCGCTTTATATATATCCTTTTACTACGTTACTTATCTTCCCCTATAACCTAACCGTTAGCTTAGTTTCTAACTATAGGAAAAGTTACTTATAGTTATTAATCTAAGTATTAAATAATTCTAGACTAATAAGTTAGCGGAATAATTCTTATAGTAATATATTTAGTTATTAATAGACTAGTATAGTAAGGTACTCTTTTAAGTATAGTACTACTTTTGCTTTTTAGCGGAGCTTTAATATCTATTTATAAAAGTCGGCTCTATTTATAATATCTAAGGTAGTAAATCGTTCTATTTATAACGATCTTAAAGCTACTTCTAGCTAAATAGCGAAGCGTTTTTATAGTTTAGTATACTAGGTGGTATATCCTTAGTCTAGGGTATAAAATATAGGTTAGTTAGATTCGCTAAGATCGCTAGAATATTATTTAATAGCGGTTTTATAAAGTAAGCTAGGGATTAGTATTACTAGTTCGTTAGCGTATTTTAGTCCGCGAATAGCTACCTATTTTAGGGAATCGATAAATCGATTAACGCTTCTATATATAATCGTTTTCTTAGTTTCTTTAAGGACGTCGAATATTATATTAAAGGGGCTAGTAAGGTTAAACTTCCTTATATCTTTTAGTCTAATACGTACTAAGGGTACTTAAGGAGGGTTTATAGTAGTATTATCCTCGGTTTCTCTAACTATAGCTTTTACTAGTAGTCTTATAAAAGCTTCTTTTATAATTAAACTTATTAGCTAGTTTACTAGGGTTATTATTATAAACGTACTACTAAGGGTAGTATTATTTAAAGGTTCTTCCTTATTTTATTTATTATAGTTTAGCGAACTTCTTAGCGAACTTCTAAGGCTTTATCCTTTTAATAAAGGTAGTTAGGGCGGGGTAAGGGAAGCTATACTATACTAATTTCTATATAGCTCCGTTACTTATAGCTAATATTACCTTATTACTAGAACGTATTCTAGGTTATTAATTTATTCTTATAGGCTTTAACGATTAGCTAGGTAGGCTAGTAAGTTATATCGTAAAAGTTCTACTCTTAATTCCTCTAAGCGTCGTTCTTATTATTAGGGTAAGCGATCTAGCTATCTTTTATTTCTATAGGTACTTAATAGGAAATATCCTAGAAATAGGTATCTTTCTAACCGCTAATAAAAGCTCTATAATACTTTAGCTTTAATACGTTAAAGTTCTACCTTTATCTAGAGTTCCCTAAGTATTTCTTCTATAAAAAGAGATTAAAAAGCTAGTATTCGTTAGTATATAAGTAAGAGCTTTCTTCCTAAGAAGATATTAAGGTTTATAGGTCGAGGTTAACTTATCCCTTTCCCTATTCTTTATCTTTTATTCTACTAAATATAGACTTTAAGAGAATAAATAGTTAAGGGAATTAAAATTACTACTATTTATTATATACTAGTCCCTTAGTATAGGGCTAGTACGTTAACCTTACCGTCTACCTAGATCTAGTATAAGTTTAATAAGTAATTAAATAGACTAGCTACTATATATAATTAAATATATTATATAGACTAGCTACTATACGTTATTACGCGCGTTAAATATAGACTAGCTACTAGTCTTATAAGTTAAAGTAAGAGTAGTAATAACTATTTATATTCTTCTTTACCCGCCTAAGATCTAGTAGGTTCTCTATCTTCTATATATACTATAGCGAGCGTAAGACCTTACTTAGGGCTTCAACTAAGTAATATCTTAACCTTATAATTATATAATAGTAGTATAGCGTATTAATAGTATTTCCTAGTATTTTCCTTAGGTAAGTATAGGTATTTTTCTATAATTTCCCTACTATATTCTTATAGTAACTTCTTAGGGAAATATCGGTATAGTCCTTAAGGAACTATTATTACTTAGGAAATCGTAGTATATTCCCTATATAATATATCCCTAAGGGAAATCTCTATAAAATATCTATATAATCCGCTTAGTTATCGTTTCTAGGATTTCTAGGTAATTTCCCGGAGTTTGCCTAGTAGCTTCTAGGTTCCTTCTTCCGCGGGGAGCCTTAGGGAGTTAAGGGTAACTTCCTTAAGGGAAGTAGATATCGTTACGGGTACCTAGATTATTAACTATAGGGTGTCCTATAATAGTAGGGGTTAAAGCTAGTCCTATAGACGGCTCCCTTAGTATAGCGAGAACCTCGTCCTTCTCGCTAGCCGTCGCGCTTTTAATCGCTTTTAAGATAGCTATAATACTTCCTATCTATTTAGGGAGAGGCGGAGTACTTCCTCGAGGAGGTAGCACCCTCTTTAGAGAGATATCTATTAGATCTATTAGTTAATAGCTTATACTATTATAGAGTAAGTAGAGGCGTATATATAGGTGCCGTTTATAGGATAATATTAATAAGCTATATAGAGCTCTCCTATACGCGGCTAGCCCGTATATATATATATAGGATCCGGCCCTCCGTATATAACTATATAGCTTAGGCCGTAGCCTAAGCCTATAACCTATAATAGTTAAAGACTCTTATAGCTACGAGGGCTAGAGCGTTATAGGACTTAAGTATAATCGAACTAAAGCACCTTATAGTAATAGTAAGGGACTTTAATATCTATTACCCGCTCTAGGATAAATATAATAGAACCTTAGATAGTATAATATATCTTATAAGGCAATCCGCAAACAGTGTCTAGTCGCTTTCGAACGTGTTGGTCCGCTCCTATTTCCCATAGTGGCGACCGGGACCTGAGACGACATGGTTATCCAACTTGGTTCAATCTCACACCATGGCTTGACCACTAAATTCTTTTGCCCTCTCCTCGTGGCAAGCTCGCCCATCGCGCCGCAATAAGAAGCAATCCGCCCAAGACAAGGCATGCCCCTCCCCATATCTGTGCCCCCAAGTACGAGTGGCCGCCCCCGACCTCAATCAACTTGCCGGCCAGCGGTGGCCCCGTAAGCGCCGCGACGCTGACAATGGAAAAGACCATGCCTATCCTCGTCCCGTTCTTGCTCAAGTCCTCACTCAGCCCCGCCAGCGTCGACGGGAACATGCCCTGGATGGCGGCTCCGAAGAAGCCGTAGAAACACACCCAAACGTAGTCTGCCGCGAGAGAGTCGACGCCGACCCAGGAGAAGACGCAGATGGCGGCGCCGAAGATGATGGGGATGAAGACATTGACAGCCCCGAAGTAGCGGTCGGCCAGCAGCGCTGGCACAAGGCGTCCGGGGATGCCGACGGCATTCATGACGAGCAACATGGTCAAGGACGTGGACTGCGTCCCATCTAGAATGTCGAGAACGTACGACCGGGCCTAGAAACGAGGGAAAATGAGACCATCAGCCCGACACTTGATACCAAGTACGGCAAGTAGGTAGCTGGGTGACAGATCCTCGAGAGCTTACATAGTAGTATGCAAAGTACGTGGCCCACAGCGTAAAGAACATGCTGATGGTAAAGAGCAGGTAGCTTGTCTCCTTGAAGGCGGCCAGTTCGACAACAGGCCCGGCGCGGCGCGGCGGCATCCTGGTCCGGACAATGCAGAGGACGACGGCCGAGGAGGCGACAATCACGAGCCCCATGGCCCGCACCGTCCAGCCAAAGCCGATCCTCGGCAGCAGCTGCTGCGCCATGAGTGGGAATACGATGCCGCCCGTGGCGCCCCCGCAGGCCGACAGCGAGATGGCCATGCTGCGCTTCCGCGTAAAGTACGTCGACACGTTGGCCACGGTGGGCGCAAATACGATGCCGCACCCCAGGCCTTGGCACAGGCTCTGCGCCAGGAACAGCTGCCAGTAGGTGCTCGCGACGCTCGTCGTCATGATGCCAATGACCTGCATCAGGCAGCCCACCACCAGGGCCCTCCGGAAATAGCCCGCGTCAAAGGCCCGGCCTGCAAAGGTGCCGACGAGCAAGATGAGGCAGATCTGAACGCTGCCGATCCACGCGACGGCCGAGGGAGCGAGCGAGAGCCGTTGGGCATAGTAGGGCTGGAAGATGCCGAAGCTGATGATGTAGCCCCAAGTGCTGAAGACGACGAGGTGGCCAGCCAGCACCTGGAGCCAGGCCGTGAGGCCCCCGTCGGGGGGCACTTGCAGAGGCGGCTTGTCATCCCTCGAGCTGAAAGGCGAGGTTGGGGTCGGGTCTGGCGGGCTTGCAAGTTCGCTTCCGTCCGTCCTAGATGCCGCGGGCAAAGGCGACTTGACGGCGGCGGCATCTTGCGGCGACCCTGTGACTTTGTCTGCCGCGTAGCCTCTCGGCAGGAGATCTGACATGACGGCTTAGGGGCGTGTTCTGCCCGTTCAATGCTTCTGGGTTGAGCAAAGTATGCTGTCTAGGTAGCAACAGCAAGGAGATATCAAGATGCTTCGACAGACGGCATAGTTTTAAATAAAAACCCACTTGCTTCCAAGGCACCGCTCTGTTGCACTAGAGGGGACCGCTGGAAAACGACTGTGCCGGGACTTATAAGCGACCAACGAGTAGCCGAGTAGCCGAGTCGAGAGGCTCATAGGGCTCTATCGTGACGAATCACGGGCTGACTCGCGATCAACTTCGTGTATTGTAAAAACGTAAGAGTCACGAGAGAAAGAAAAAGTGCTGAGACTTGACTATAATGCGGGCCCCGACAAGCGGGGCCCCTGTTGCCGATCGAGGAGGGCCCGAGACCGGTGGCCGCGACTCCTCGACGATGATGCGGAAGAGCTGGGCCCGCGAAGCTTTCTTGTAGTTCCTTTGAGTGCGTGTGTTTGCAGGCAGCATGGATTGCTGGCCGATACGAGTGGAACCGGACCTCCGGCTCGCTCGGTCAACGACTCGAAGCGGCCATTGATGCCCATCACTTGCGGGATTCTCTCTGTATGCCCATTGAGCAGGCCCTAGCATTCATATTTACACTGCGACCTCCACGGCAGCCGCGTGGATGTGACTGTAGTCTATGCTAGGCGGCATTTGCGGCCTTTGCCCGAGCCCGACACCGGCGCGGCGACGCCCTTGGAGTGGATCAGTCAGGCAGTGGTTTGACTAGGCCACACGCAAGTGGTTAGAGGGCGTGGACATTATAAATCAACATTGATGTCGCGAATCTCACCTGCATCTAATAAGCAACTGCCGCAATGCAACACTACTTGCCTAGATAGTATACTTGCTTCTCTCCTCGGCACGATGCTGCTTTCCTTCTACTAACTACAGCATGTGGCCGTCGCAATGGGTTCGACTCAGATTGTAGCTGATCCGAAAGAAATGCCGAGGAACAGCTTGACCCTTTGGCCATGTTCACTCGTCTGGTTGCTGCTACACGCAAAGTAGAGAGAGTATTGCTGAAGGCCCTCCAGAGTAGAGACCGACTCAGCATGCAGGCTTTTCAAGGGAATCTTCGGGGAATCAGTCCGGGAGTGGCAGTGCGTGAATGATATCGGAAGTAGTATCTGTCGCCCGAAAGCACCTCGGACACCGTTAAGCATTGCAAACAGCGGCAACGAAAGAGAGCCCGACACTTAGGCCAAGCACAAGGTCGATTAGGCATTCAGCTCTCCCGATGTCGGGAAGCACTCTTGCCAGAAATGCAGTTGTAGGGGCAGAGCACCCGGACAATCATGTGCGCAGAGTCTCCTATGAGCATATCCGTAAAGCGTTCGAGGTGTCATTTTAACATGAAGTGGCAGTGCAGGAGGGCTGTGTGGGAAAATAGGACGTTGTCAAAGAGCTGCGTGAGCTTGAACCGAAGGGGTGACTTGAGTTTCTGCTCTTGCGGAACTAGCATATTGACCAAATGGACATGCGATATCTTCAAGTCGCTGCTTGGACCCGAGTCACCCGACATGCCAAAGACGCGCCCGCATTTGCCCTTCGTCTTCGACTCGATGACAGATCCATGTCAAAAACTGGTGGCCATCATCCGCAACACTGGCCAGGCGATAGTGTAAATTTTTTCAGCCTGAAGGGTAAAGTCGGCCCCGAAGCCTCGGCCATCTCGGGTCTGCACCCAGCCCTGCTGATGCGTGAGGGCGCCACTAGGAGTGGCCCAGCGCCACCCGCATCAGCCACAGCAAGGGCTATGGCTACCGCCTAAGAGAACGGATATTAGTTAGTCCGGGCCCTGGAGGCGCTATGTAAGAACAGCGCCCGCGATGGCCCTCTTTAATTAATCTATCCCTTTCTTTACTTTTTACTGACCCCCCAAGTGCACCACCTGCCTCCCCTCCAATCTTCTCGACACGGGCTGTCCGTGCTTCGAAGATTGCCGACCGTAACCGAGTATCATGATGAATGGTGCTACCGAGCTCAAGCTGGACGGCACGGCTTGCCAGTCTGGATTCGCCGACTGGCCGCCGTCCTAGTAGCCGGCCCAGGCATTCGGCGTTTGTAATTTCTCGTGGCCTATACCGTGGTGCTCGGGTGAAACAAAAGGTACCGCTGAATCAAGGCCGGGCAACTCGGAGACCTTCAGCGCTCGATCTTGATGTTCCCAAGGTAGGGACTAGGGAGTATGAATGCACAACTCATTGCCGCCACCATCAATGTCATTGCCATATTCAAGCTCCTCCCTCGACCTGTAAACTCTCCGCGGCGAAAGTTGTTTCTATAAAACCAACCAACAGCAGCATTAACCTCAATTTCCAGCCGAAGTCGCAGGACGTTGGTGATCTTGGGTGCAATTTTATCAGTTTCGTCTTGAGCTACAAGCTCCATAATCTCGAATGCGATCTCCACCCTTCCCCGATCAGCCAGCCGTTGATGCACGACGGAGGTCAAGAGGGTGTTGCGGCACCTGGAATCACCTGGGCACTGACCATACTGGCGTGCCTCGATATGTGCGAGACACAGCGCCGTGCTGGCGATGAAGGCTAGGAATTCGACGCCGCGGCAGTATATGGTTGCCGACCTGGATCTCCGGAACGATACAAACCGCGACAGAACCTCACGGCTGGCGTTGGCGGCCATTATCTTGTTATAGCTGTGAAAGGCTGGCCCGGAGTTTATTCAACAAGCAGGTGCCTAGGTGTTGTCTATCTAGAGCTAAGGAGGAAAAGAAGCTGAACTCGAGGCGTAGCCTCGAGTGCGAGCTTATATTACCCTTCTCGGAATGTTCTCGCAGCTTCTGGGTCCGCGGAGCGGGGCCGGTGTTGCCACCGGAGCACGACCCACCGGACCCGGTACAACCGGGTCCACCAGCCGGGCACAGCCCGTGACAATAGCCATATTTTTCATCGACGGGGAAGCGCAACAAGTATGGAAAATGCAGCCGCGCCTGCAAGTGGTGCTGAGTGAATAGCTCCATGATACGGACTGTCTCTCGCCCAAGGTCTCCACGTTGTCACTTGCACTGGGAGGAAGCCACCATATGGGAGGCATCGAGGAAGACGCTTCGTGAAGCATCCTATCAATCTCAAGAGTCGAGGTGATATCATCATTAGCCCCAGCTTGACTGGGCTGGAGGATGCGTCCGGCCGCGGCGCATTGGATGCGCTGCATGCGCTCTATGGGCGTACGGCGTTCCAGCGCCTTGGGTTCCGCGAAACCGTAGTCAAGAGATCCCGGCGCATTAGCAAGAGATAGTGATCCATTCGAACTAGACGAGACATGATGGCATCGTGATGGTTGGCACTCAGACCACCGACCTCCCAAGAGGAGCATTCCCGAGTTCCCCGAGGAAAAGAACTCGGAAACAAAAGTTTACACGCAATTAGAACCGGGCGGGATCCTGAAGAGGGCAGCCGCAACATGTCCCGTGAAAACGGTGCATTTCGGGTTGAGCATGGTGTGCAAGTGGAACATGATAGAAGCCCCGAAATATTGGCGGGAAGACTTGAGATGGACTCGAGGTCGCGTTGACCGGGCCACACTGCGACGAGCTGATTGGATGGGCCATGGTAGCCAAATGGTTCATGCGAGGGGGGTTGGGGTGCTTCTGTTGCTGCTGTTTGGGGTTTATCTTTCTGCAAGCTACTGTTGTTACTTGATGAAAAATCTTAGAGGTCGCTGCCATGCTTGGCATTGGTCGTCAGCTGCTCAATCATGGCTTCAACACGGCCTAGTCTGTCCCCAACCTTCTTCTGGAAATTCTTGGCTGATGCCGGCGGCTCCGCGGCATCTACAGCCGTCGCATGTGACGGCCGATGGTATTGCAAAGGTGCATTAAATCTTGCGTCGCTTGCACGCCCAGCAGCTTTGCGTGCCCTTGTGGGCCTTTCTTTGCTTGGGTTCCGGCTCACCAGCGGTGCTTCCGCGTGCCATACCGGTGCCTACGGATTCAAGGGGATGAAGGATCTGGGACTGTTGACCCGAGTCGGCGGAGACGGTGCTGCCAGGTTTAGGTCTTGGATGACTTGTGCCGAAATGCGGCGGACGAAAGTACACATTCCCGCGACGAGTCAGATAGCCGGAAGAGCCGTTCCTCCGCCTTGGTTATTCGGCGGCTGACAAGACCTAGGGCTTACCGCTCCAGGCCTCGGCCAAGAAGTCCTCGGCCTTTGTAAACTTGTAGTCTGGCAGCAGCCGATTCCATTCATCGGAGACATTCAAAGCCCCCGCTGATATGCCCAGCAAAATGCCAGACATGAGCATCGCCGAGATGGCGTCAAACTGCTCGCGCGGAAAGGCCGGGGGGCCGGCTTTAGGTCGCCACGAGGATTTGAGTTCCCCAGATGCAAGATCGTCGGCCTTGAGCCTCTCAACGGCAAACTGTCCGCCTGGTGATCCTCGTGTTAACTCTTGATACTTTTCTTGCGCCGGATGGTAGTAGAAGACGAACCACGGATCCTCTCGCCAAGAGAAATGAGTTGCCCAACCGTGAGCTCGGCGCCTTTGATGCCACCGACGACTGGCCACTCGCCATCATAGTCAATGGCTCGAGCTACCACATTGGCAAGATCTCGGACCGTCGTAAGGGTGATGCGGTCATTATCACCGCCTTCTACCACAAGGGCTCGGCGGTTGTTGAAGTCGATTGGGGTTTCGATGGGAGTAACGTGTTTGGCGGTCTTGTAAGGATTGGTGAAGTAATTCATGAACAAGCCCGGCTGGAAGAGCGAATATTCAAGAGCCTTGAGGTACATGTTGGTTGACTTGCTCGGCTCTAAAGTTGTGGATGCTACTCTGCTCTCAACTGACCTTTTTATCCTTATTCAACCTCTTGAGATATTTACGGATCTCAGTTTTGCCAGCATACCAGCTCATGTGCTCGAAAGATGATCTGCAAGTAGTGAGCAAGCATAATTTGAAGTCTTTGGCAATTGCTTAGCTCACGAAGCCCATTCGCTAGGCGCGAATCGCTTCACACCAGCCTGAACGGCAGCATCGATCAGGTGTTTCTGGGCCATGTTGCCTGTGTCCGAGTGCACAACGATGAATGAGAGCACCGTATGGACGCCCTGCAGTATTTCCGCCAGCTTCTGGGGGTCCTTGTAGTTCGTCTGGACCCATGTTACGGCAGGCGCCATCTCTTCAACGGAGGCATTCTGTGCGCGTCAGCGGTTTGAAGCGGGACGGTGTATGCGCGACTGAGAATCGTGCCCGGACCTTTCTGGAGAGGAGCAGAATCTCGTGCTTCTTGGTGGCAAGAAGTGTGTCAAGGATCTCCTGGCCAACGTCTATTGATATTCCAGTCAGAGCTGGAGCTGGGTGCAATGCGAGTAGTGAGAAGACGCACCGCCAGATCCGCCAGCGATCGCGATTTTGACCATTCTGCCTTTTCCTGGAATATGGGGGCTGTCCAGGCGCTTTTCAGCGACTGGAAAAAGATGCACGTGTCAAAATACAACGGCAGGTTGCCGTTGCCAAAACTTGATGAATACAACTGAAGCCGCTCGTTGACTGTTGAAGATTTGTGTGAACACAAGAGCTACTTATACACCAATCCATACAGTGTCCCCGCTTGGATCCTTCCTGTCTGCCCCAGGGATAGATTCGGCCGAATGCCATGTTCCCTCCTGACTGATTCGCCGAGGCTCGGCCCAATTCATAGCTTCTCCAACCGGGAAGATCTCCAGCCGGCGGAACACAAGCCGGGGTGGCATCAGCAGATGCGCCACGTCATGAAGGCGGGGGCGAAGCAGCCCAGGGCTTGCATGGCTTGCGGAATCCAATGAACGAATGATTTGCTTCGCCCGGTGAGGCTACTGTACTCTGCTTTGGTCAGCATTCGCCGGGCGGGCTCGCGACTTTCTGGTGTGCCACGCCTGGGCAACTTCATTAATAATTTAATACTGGTGCCCTCCACCACCGCTTCCCGCAAGGGCTGACTTCTTTGCGATGCCAAGGGCAGTCAGAACGGACCACTCCCGCTGTGACACACCATGTCTGACCCCGAATGATGGCTAAGTAAGGCGTAAATACATGCCTCCCGTTGTTCAGGTTAAAAAGTAGATGTATAGCCACAATTTTATCCCTCTTATATGTGGCCTTAAGAGTCTACGAGAGGAGAATCTTCGCATCAATAGTTGGTAAAGTTATAATCGAGATACATGCACTTAGTCCTTTTCCAATGGCTCCCATGTGCAACCCCTCCTATCCAGTTGAGCCATATCAGAGTGTGGAAAGCGAGGTGTAGAACACATGTGGTGACCTAGAACGCCTTCTCAGAGAGGCACCAACACTGAACCGTCCTCTTGAAGGTACTGCGCCACTTTATACCGCGTGGAGCTCGACATCCAACTTACCAAGCCAGCCACCAGCGCTCGGCAACTGTCAACGTACGTCCTCAGATCTCTCTTCAAGCTTTCGTGGTATTATAGAGGCCTCGAAAATTCCCTTCGAACGAATCAACCGATTGCTCGAAATCGTCCGTAAACTGTTACGTGATTACGTCGAGGTCTTTGCTGCTGCTGGCGAAAAACATGACCAGTATCATATTCTGGATCACCCCGTTTCTCTGTCACGTTGATGTTAGCTTCGGTGCAAGGTAGTTGATGAGCCCTTGGAGATGCAGACAGCCAACCAGTTCCTTTTGCAGAGAGCAAATGTCATTAACCCTTGGTAGTTCGGCATTTGTGCATAGGACTTGACGGAAGATGAGTCCCACATCATAAAAAGCTTTGTGGCTTCTCTCCGGAGATATTGTCTTCATTTCTTGACATTTGATGATGCTTTCCGGGAGCTCAACGTTGGTGGCGCATCTGCAAGCCTGAGCACCAAACCCCAATCCAAGGGCGGAAAAGGACCTGGGACCATCCTGAGGGTGCTTACTGCAAAAGTTCCATGGCTGGCGCTACGCTTGCCGTCCCGAAACGCATGTGCGTGTACTACTGCTCCAGAGTGGGGACAGCCTCTTGCCGTTGTCTGGCATGTTCGATTTGCACATGCAACATAAAATCTTCCAGCTGATGATAGAAACGCTGTCGCTGGACTAAAAGTTTCTCGGTGTCAGCTACACATATCGTCATTCCTGACTACTTTCTGGACCTAACCTGAGACGTACTATATGCTATCTTTTGAAGCGAGCTTTCAGCAAAACGGTTGAAGAGCCCCATACCGGGAACGGGGCACTCGGGAGGTTCCAGTCGAGGGACGTCTAGACCCAGTGCCCATTTGACGTAAGTTAGAGATTTTTCGACGTATGAGCGAACCATTTCGTCTGTCAGAGCGAGTTAGCTATCATTTTCGCCATGATCGACGTAATCATCCCACAGATAAATCCAAACCGTGTACGTTGCGGCCAAGTCGAGGTTGTCTCAATCCGAGTTCGGGTAGCAACTATTTGATGTATTAGTGAGAAATCTTTTCAGAGGTAGAGGGCTCAAATTCTGTACCAGGAAACCAGGAAGCCCTTCGGAAGTCACAAGCTTTAAGAGCTTTGAGTTTCTTCTCATCCTCGATGGTGCTATGAGAGGGGTAAGAATGTCCTTTCTGTAAGGTCTGAGATGACATTACCCTTCAAGCATCTGGTCCACGATAGCCCGGTCTTGGTTGATATGTTTATTCGGCCCTGTTAGCCAATCTGAAAGTATTGACTTGAAGTTGGGGATTCGAAGAAACTTGCCGCTCAACGCTGCGGCTAGGCTCTTTGCCCCCTTAACACTGACTGCGTCAGTCATCTTAAGAATTTATAGTCCAGCGCGAGAGGAAATGTTTGCAGCCAATGGGTTGAAATCTTCAACGAGAAGGTAATCGGTGCCTACTGCGCGACACTTTGCTTCCGCGCGCGTGTATTTTATCGCGGATATAGGGGTTCGGTCTATATACGCAGCCGCTTTATCTCTACGCGGCGACTGTTAAAACCTAGGTATATCTATTAATATATAATTAGCAATAAATATATATAGGGCAAATCTTTAAAGTTTTTTTCCTTTATATACTTTTATATAACTAATAATAAATATATATAGGGCAATTATTATTTTTCTTTTATATATATTATTATATAACTATATACTTTTATATTTATTTATTTTAGTTATATATCTATCATTAATATAACGAACTATAATTCAGCTATAGATCTAAGTATATCTATAGACGAAACAAAATCTAAAAATGCCTTTTTAACTTTAACATACCTATAGGCCGCCGTAGTCTTGGCCAGAATGGGCGCGCTACTAGACCCCCTCTGTTATGGAGGCCGACAGGATGCGATGTGACAAAGGAAACCAAATTCACTAAGCGACAGCTTTGTCAATTGATCACACATAAGAACGTTAGGTCTGCAACCAAACAACAACACAAGGGCTCGCCCCGTGACAGGTTTCGAGCAGATTTAGCACCTGATTGCCCGCCGTAGGCAAAAGGGAGACTCCAGTTAGTACCTAGAATGGTTAGTAAAGGTTATATTATAGGTATATGTCAGCTGCCACTGGCACCTCTACGAGTGATAGGATCTACTTGCTGGAGTGTACACTTCACTTTTGGCTGCACGCCATATTGGTCTTCTAGCAGGATATATATGGCATTTAACCTTTGCGATGGATATGAAGCCGATAAGTGCCTCGCCTGGCAGCTGAAATAGTAAAGACCAATAATGTTTAAGAGATAAGAGCACAAAGATGATAAATATATAATTCTACAAATATTAAGAGCCTTACTAGAAAACTTAATAGTCTAGGAAGGAATCTAGTCACGTGTGGAAGGCTGCTACCAGGACGCTCGTAAGACCAGGGAGACTTTCCCTCTGGCAAGCTTCAGTCTTGCTACAGAGGGAAGAACCTCCTACCATCTTTGCTACCTGACTGATCGTACCGTGACACGTGTTCCTTACAGCATTACGCCCCCCCTAGCCTCGAGTCCGACGGGAAGTAAGTCCATGTCACAACAGAAAGAGACTTTTAATACGGGTAAATAATAACATGTCTACTGGGGGTGACCCTATTTTTGCCTAATGTGGCGGTATTTTACTAACTTGGCAGTTCATGCTCCACCTCAACTGCCAAAGGGATCGTGGAGCATCTATAACGACCCACCTCCAGACATAACCCGTTGGCCTATAATAAATTACAGGCAAGCTCTGCCGATGAAGTCATTGATAATTAGTTCCCCGTCATAGTTAGGGATGGGTTGCGATAATTCCGGGTTTCAAAATATGGAATTACCAACGACTCTATGCTTGGACTGGGTGCTTATATTGGACGCCACGATAGGTCACAAGCGCTATGCACTCAGTATAGGTCGGGTGAAATTTTATAAATTCGTCGAAATAGAGGGTGTCAGGATAAGAAAGGGCCTATAATACGCGTTTGAAGCTTGCGTAGTATGTGGAGAGCATAAATCTTAAGGAATTGTAGAGTTTTTGCAGGGAATACACTTGGTTATAGCCGGGGGAGTTAAAACTTTGCACGAGTAATATATCTCTCACGTGCACGGTGGCCTATACACATATATTCCAAAACGTGGGTAAATAGGATTGGTGGCCCTAATTCTAGTAGACCTCGGTAATAACACTGCACAAGCGCTAATTGACCTATGTACAAATAATCGCTAGTGAATACTAGGGGTCTCAAAAGCGACCACTTCTCCCGCCCTTTTGGAACAGGGACGAGGGGTGTCTTGTTAGCAAAACCACGCTTGATTCGTAAATAACAAGCATGGGCTTCAGGCACCAGCGCGATTTTATTTTTTAGCGGGTTGTCGTCGTCGAATCACCCATCTGCTTAAAAGTTGGTCTTAGTAGGTATGACGACGAGGCCTTTGCGGATGTATGTCGCCTTTGACTTGTGGTGGCAAACGTGCGAAGTATAGCGTTTACCTTTCGCGAATTCACTCCGTAGCATGCCGGCCGGTCATTGCTGAAGCAATAAGTACCCGGAGTGACACGTGGGTGGCCTAGGCACGTTATGTCGTTGGCGAAGTATTTATCTTATAGCTGGTGATCGGCTCATAAGAGCTTCTCGCACAAACATAATGGTGAGGGTGGGATAGATTCATTACGCTATAGTCGCATGTCGTCAGAGGCCCTGTGCCAGGCGTGTATCCAGCAGGTATCTGGGTTACTGACGTGCATTTGCTATACCCGGCTCGGGTAAATCTGTGCCTATATCAAGAGCCAGCGATACTCAAGTGTTACTGGATGCATAATCCTCCAATTACCTTTACACGTCCCACTTTAGCTTTAACATGGATTCTTGATTCGGGAGAGAGCCGACGAAAACACTGCTGGATAGCAACGCATATATATTTAAGCAGGAACCGTGGCATTCTGTGGCTTGATTCATAAGACTGTTCATCTTCCTCGAAGCCTTTCAAGGTCACACACGCACCACACCGCCAACATGAAGTGCTTCACTGCCGTCATTCTCGTCCCAAGTGCGGTAAGCGCTTGGGAATTTCCATCTATTTTTAGTCCGGACACTAGCCTCGGGTCTACAACTTTCGGGGTCATCATGGTGGGACAAGAATGCCACTTCAACTACATTACCTCAAAGCCGCATGCTCGGAACTGGATCGGTATATACAAGACAGATGGTATCCCGGGCTCGGTGGACTCTTTAAATTGGAGATACGCACCCGGAGTGATGGGGACTGTGAAAATAGATTGCGTTGGGCGAGGGTCGGGCAACCATCGAGCGTATTTCCTAGAGGACGACGGAATGAATGTGCTGAGTGGCCCTATCGGTATAATTGGCGATTATGACCACAAGACATCGATTTCTTACTCGTCGACTTCTTATTCGTCGACTTCTTATTCGTCAACTTCTTATTCATTCACCGAACAAAATTGCGAATTTAGTTACTCTACCTCGAACCCGCAAACACATAACTGGATCGGTATATATAAAAAAGGCGATTCTCCAGGCTCTGTGTTGTCTTTGGTTTGGAGATATGCACCCGGAGAGACGGGGACAGTCAAACTAGACTGCGCCAGCCTGGGTTCCGGCGCCTACGAAGCGTATTTCCTAGAGAACGACGGATTCAAGGTGCTGAGTGGCCCTATTCCTCTGTAACGGGCTAGAGCCGAGGGGATTTCGGCTTTGGCCTTCGACTAGGTCCTGGACGGGCTCCCGAGCCAGGGTCGTCATTGATTTAATTGTATTATCTCGGCATTTACGTCGAGCTGCGCCGATGAGAATGACCGCCGGCCTTCTCAGCTGCATCGAGATGGTGTTCAGGGGTGTATATGGACGGAATCACGAGAAAGTCTGCCAGCAAAAGACACATAAAGGAGACAGGCGGGCCGGAATAACAGGGGAGACCTCATTAATATAGGCTGCCACGCTAGAATAAATCCGCTTCGCATAGTTAACGGACACTCGTAGAGCAGTGTTCCATAATTACCGGCTAGCGCGAGGCAGCTATTGGCAGTAAGTGCAGGAACGGCCGTGGTTTCGCATCGTAAACGCAATAGCAATTGACTCGCTACTAGCAACTGAAGAGGCGCGACATAGGTCCAATCCTCCCCCCAGAAGATCATCAGTAACCATAGCCTGGGCGCTTGCAGGATGCCAGCAACATCATCTCGTCACCTGATTGGTTGGTCCAAGCTGCTAAGCCATGAGCTAGCTCGGCGGTCTAGTTTACTCCCAGCCATAACACAACGCGAATGATCAGCCTCGTCATCAGTATCACGCGTCTCTGCAAATGAATCCAGCCGTTATTTCGGCATAGATTGAGGATACCGATAGCTTCACTGAGTGCGGTAACCGCTCAAAAGCCGCGTCTCCCTTCGAAGAACCCCCAAATTCAGCCAAGAGCCGACGTCTGACAAGTAGCGAAGATCGCGTCCTCCAGCCTGTTCACAGAAACCTCTGTGGAATATCAGATCAGCCACCATCATTACAGGCAGACACGGGAGTTTGGCAAAGAGAGCCTCGGAGAAATCAGAGGACAGTTAATCGCAAGCTTCAAGCGCGGCCTTCTAGCTTGTCCCCAACGAAGAAACATGGACTGGACAAAGGCACGCGGGACAGTGTGAGGGACGCGGGGGTAGATTACGGACTGGTCCGGAGTGATAGCGAAGAAAGGGAGGCTGAGGCCTTAACACCGACCCGGCTCAGTTCCAAAAGCGACGACCAACAGCCGCCCCGTGGTAGGACCCAACCGTCCCGAAGCGGACCTCCGCCCTCCCAGCGGTTCAGCGCTGCACTCCGGTCACTTCCCCCGACAGTCTCATCACCATCGCGCTCACAAGCCTCCTCTCAGGCAACCCCGAGCAACCGGTCAACAAGCCCTGTGAAGAACGCCCAGGATCTGTTGGTTACCCTCGAGAAACCTGTTGTCTTTCGGATGCAACCAGAATCCCAGGTCCGACATTTCATCCGCCGTTTGCACCAGCATGAGGCATTTCTCCAAGTTTTCGATCAAATACGCAGCATCAAACAAGGCATCGCCTTCATGCCGTCACGGCTAAAGGACATACTGGAGGACAAGCTCGAGCTGGGCCAACCTGAGCATGCGTATGGATGCGCCCTGCCAGCCTTGTCTCGCCTCGCAGTGGAGGACGACATCGTGACGTGCCAGCCTTCCAACTGGAGTTCGCTCAATTGGACGCTGAGTTGCATAACGAGCTCCGAGAGTTACAACGTGTTGTGCTGTAGACAAACGAGTTTCAGACAATTGAGCGCAACGAGCCGGCGTGGAACGCGCGTGTACACGATCCCCTGCTAGAACTAGCGGTACGACATTTCGACACTGTCGAGGCCGAGAACATCACCAAAGCAACGATTAACCGCGCGTGTGTCCCCGAGACTCGCGCTTCTGTGTCTCTGCCTGTAAGTGGCAAGATGGTGGATTATGCGTTGGTGTTGTGCCCAAGCACAGACGACCCCCTAAACCCATTGGCGGTTCGCCTGGCCGACTTCGTTCAATGCCAGATTGCAAGCAGCACGCTGCCATTAGCCAGCTTTAATCAGACCTCATACGCACCGCTGGCATACGCTCCAACCGCCGTCGTCATCGAGACAAAGGTCGACTCTGGCAGCCGCGCCGAGGGCCGTGTCCAGCTAGGCTTGTGGCTTGCAGCCTGGTGCAGGCGAATTTCATCATTTGGCCAAGGGTTATCAAGCTCCTTCCCGCCGCCAACAATCCCTGTCCTCCTTGTGACATCGGAGAAGTGGGAAATTAACTTTTCGTTTGACCTGGGTGATCGCATTGTAAGTCGCGCAAGCTCAACTCGTTCGCTCGTGCCCGACTGACACTGGGTCGCAGGATATAGTAGGTTCCATGGAGGTGGGCAGAACACGCTCACTGGAGGGAGCATATAAAGTGCCTGCTGTACTTAAAGTCCTAGCGGCGTGGGTAAAGGGGCCGTTTAAGAGTTGGGTTGAAGGAGTAGTTGCATAGTCTATCGACAAGGAATATAGGCTAACCGGCATCGTTCTGCTTTATAACAAAAGTGTAGGTTCACTATAAATTTGCTTTTATTTTTAGAGCAACTTAACTACGTAGGACTAATATATTAGCAGGGTATCGGCAGGGAATTATATATACCCCGCTCGCGAGTAATAGGTAACTTCTAAAGCTTCTTCTTTTTAGTTACCTAGTATAGATAGCTACTTAAAGAAGACTATATAACGCTCCTATAGCGCGACGTAGTAGTTAACTAGTTAAGGCCTCTTTTATAACGACCGGTGTTATTCCTAAGGGATAAACCTATCGAGGGGTTTATATTAGCAAATATAATAGGGCGTAGTCTAAGCAATAATAAGTATATTACGTTAGTAATAAGTTAGAGGTCGTAGACTATAGACTATAACTAAGTAATTAAGTAATCGGAATTAAAGATAAGATTATAATAGAGATCGTAATAATTATAATATATTAAAAGCTATCGAGCTATCTATCTAAAGGAGTAAAAGTAGGTAGCTATATATACCTATAAAGACTATCCTTAGATTATAGGCCTAGCTATAATCCCTAACGTTAGATTATATAGAGCGTAGTAATCTCGTTAATCCTAGATTACTTAGATCTCTACGATCCCCTCGATCCTATATCTATTAGATAGTCGTGCTAACTATTTATCTATTAGACCGTATTACGTGCTTAACGCGGACGACTATTAGCGGCCTAGTAGCCGTGGTCGTAATACGATATCTCCCCTCCTTTTAGTCTTATCCGTAAGACCTATTATAGCTACCTTAGCCGCTATATATAAATATACCCTTATCGTATTATATATAAGTATATCGTTTCTTATTTCTTTATCCTTTTAGGATATATTACTAATAGTATATTTAGTTATATACTAAAAAATCGTTCCCGAAAAGCCTTTAAGCGCGCTACTCTTACTAAATATATCGACTTAAGTAGAGATCCTACTAATATACCGTATACTTAATACTTTAAAGTAAAGAAGATAAATTATTAAATAGCCGAAAATTCTTTACGCTATAATAATTATATTATTAATAGTTATTCCTATTATAATAGTATTTTAGTAGCCTCTTCTTATAGGTATCTTTTAATTCTTTCTATACGTAGTAGCTAATATATTTCTTCTAGTAACTAAATTATTAACGGAGTAGCGTAGGCTATATTCTAAAAAGGAGGAAGCTAGGGAAGCCTTATTAGAGCTTTAGGTATAGCTTACGAACCTTTAGTCGTAAATATCTATTGCCGTTAATCGTTTAGCTTATATTTAGAAGATTTAGTATTATATAAAGGAAAAGAGTTCTAAGTTATTTCGTTATAGTATTTAAGAAGTAAATACTAAGGATAGCGTTTTACCTATGCTTAATATATATAAGCATTAGGTAGTAAATAACTAATAATTATTAGGCGTTCTTAATAAGGCGAATTAGTTCTTATTTAGTATTAGCGAGGAGTTTATAGATCTTAGTCCTTTAATCCCTTTTAAACCTTCTAGTAAAATTATCGAAGTAGAGAGCTATAGTAGGTTAAGTGCTTAAGTAGTTCCTAGGTATTTTCCTCTAGTCTATATCCCTTTTACTTAATAAGGTATTCTTATTACTAACCTTATTTTCTTATATCTAGTATTTATTTTACTTTATATTCTTAATCGTCGTTAATTTTAATTTTTTCCTATAGTTTAGTATTTTATAGCGCTAGTTTTAATAATAAGATATAAAATATTAGGTATATCTATATTATTATTAGTAGCGAAAGTTTATAGTTAACTTTTAAAATAGTTTTCTTAACCTTAAATAGTCTAAGTTTCTTAAAATCTAATTTATTACTTAGTTATTTTATTTTAATATTTCGTTATATAAGGTAGACTATATCTCCTCTTAAAAGATTAGTCCCTATAATCTTTTCTAATTATAGTAAGTAGATATTCGTTCTTTAATAAATTAAAGTTCTTATTATATTTCTTTATATAATTTTTATAGCTAATCTACTTATAGTATTACTCGTTTTACTTATAGTCCTTATTAAGTAACCTTAAATACTTCTAGGTTATATCTATAATTAGCGTATACTAGTAAGAGCTTAGTTATTTCTATAACTTAGCTATTATAAGCTAGTTACGCTATTAGTAGCTATTTAACTTAATCGTTTTATTTATAACTAATATAGTATTATAAATATTATTTAAGCGTTTAGTTAAGTCGTTCTATTTATCTATTTATTTATAGGTAATAAGCAATACTAAGCTTATATTTTATCCTTAATTATACTATAAGAGCTTACTAAAACTTAGCTATAAATATACTTCCTTTATTAAAGATAATCTTATTTAGTAGTCTATAATTACTAATAATTATTTATAGGAATATATATACTAGCTATTTTATATTACTTACTTCTTTATATAGTAAGAAGTATCTATACTTTATTAATTAGTCGGTAATAATAAATATACTATTATACTTAACGTTAGTTATATATTCTTTTAATTATAGTAGCTTTATAATATAATTAAAAGCTATTAAATCCTATAGTTTCTCTAGTACTAATAGCGGTTATAATTCTCTATATAGCTTATATCGTTTAGCTTTATATTTTATATAAAGTTTATATTTTTTAATAACTTATCGTACTACTTCCTTAAGCTATAAGAAGTTATATTATTATTTAATCCGTTTTATTATTCTTTAGATTCCTTAGTATCTATATATTAGATATTTATATATACTTTATATAACCTTATCTTATAACGCTAGTAGTATCTAGATTTTATTCTTATATATTAGAACTTCTAAATATTCTATATTATATCCCTTTAATAATTTATATTCTTTTATCTATTTTAGGATCTTTTAATATATTAAGTCGTTAGGTTATACTTTAAATATTATATTTAGCTATTATTACTAGTAGTTTCTGTTTTCGTTAATTTCTAGGAGCTATTCTTTCGCTATAGGTACTCTTATATTATAGTTACTTCGTCGACTAAAGGTCTTAGCTTAACCGTTTTCTATTCCTTTTTTATAGATTATTTTATAGTCGAATTTTAATAAATATTCGGCCTATTAGATCTATTATCTATTTAACTATTATATTATTATAAAGTATAAGATATTCTTATAATCTATATAGACCTTAACTTTATACTTACTTTTAAGAAGGTAGTATCGAAATTCCTTATAAGCTTAAATAATTATAAGGAATTCTTTATTATAGATAAGGTAATTAAGTTCTATACTATATAGCTTTTTTAAGTAGAATATAATTAGTTATAGTCTTTCTTTACTATCCTTTTATCCGATTTATACTCTTAGAGTAAAGTATAATATATTAGTTTTAAGTTTAATTTATTATTTTAGATAAAAGGTAGTTAAGACTAGTTCCTATATAATTATAGTCTTAATATATTTAAAAGCTTTATTAGCTTATCGTCCTATATAAATTCTTTCTCCTTTTTTATTAAGTTATATAATAGTACTACGATCTTTTTAAAATCTTTAATAAATCGTTAGTAGTAATATATAAATCCTAGGAAACTTTATATATCCTTAATATTCTTTAGCGTTAGCTATTCTTTAACTAAGTTAATCTTATCTTATTATATCTATATCTCTCTTAGTAAGATTATATATCTAAGGAAGTCTACTTCTTATATATAAAACTTACTTTTCTTTAGTTTAACTAATAACTTTATATTTTAAAGTATATAGAGTACCTTATATATATATTCCTTATATTCTTTTAAGGTATCTAAGAAGATTAGGATATTATTTAAGTATACTATTATAAATATATCTAAGTATTTATATAGGATATTATTAATTATCTATTAAAAGGTAGCTAGTATATTTATAAGTCTAAATAGTATTACTAGATATTTAAATAGTCTAAATTTCGTTTTAAAGGCTATTATTTATTTATATCCCTTTTTTATATATATTAAGTTATAAGCGCCTTTAAGATTAAGGGCTATAAACTATTTTTTACTATATAATCGATCTTATAGTTTAGATATAAGTAGTAATAGTATTTAGTCCTTTATTATAATATTATTTAAGCGTTTATAGTTAATAACTAGTTATAGCTTACTATTTTTCTTTAAAATAAATATAACTAGATAGCTTACTTTAGATATTAATATTTATATATATCCCTTTTATAGATTCTCGTTAAGGTAGTCGCATAGCGTTTATAGTTACTTTTCGTTTAAGTTATAGATTTTATAGAATATCGGCGTTAATCTATCCTTAAGATAAATTTTATAGTCTTATTAACTATATTTAAGTAACCCTATCTTAAGTTCTTCCTTAAAGAGTTTATTATATTTTTAGTATTCCTAGGGGATATTCTTTATTTTATCTTATAGGCTTTATTCTTTCTTTTAAGAGCTAGTTTCTCTTAACTTAAGCTCTTTATTAATTTATTTAAGGTCTTTCCTTTTAGTAGTAATAACTCTTTAAATCTTTATATTATATCCTTTATTCTATTTATATTAAATACTAGGTTATATAGCTATATTAGTTAGTATATAGGTCTTATTAGTCTATTTTATTATATCCGCTAATTTAGTTACTATTTTCGTTTATATCGCTAAAGCCTATAATAATTTACTTAAATAGTTATCCCCTTTATCTTATTTAATAGCTAAATTATTATAAAATTTTACTTTCTTTTAAATCTACTAGTCTTAGAAACTTATATCTTTATTTTAATATAGCTAGCTAGTTTTCTAGTTAATTAATAGGTTGCTCTCCTATAGCTATAAAAGTCCTAATATAAGGTTATATTCTTTAATATCTATAATATTAAAGTTAACTTATTTATTATAGCCTTAGATATTAATATTAAGGTAATTAATCTCTATATTAATAATTCTATTATTATAGTTAAAGGCCTCTCCTTTAATATTTATAAGTTTAT